TGTTTAGAGAAAGAGAGAGAGAGAGATAGATAGATAGATAGAGAGAGAGAGAGAGAGAGAGAGAGAGAGAGAGAGAGAGAGAGAGAATCCCTACTCTCTCTCGGGCAAACTTCATTTAGCTCTGAGTAAACTCGAAGAAAATATTCCGAGAATGAGAGAGATCTTTACAAGTGGAGAAGAAGGATAGATGGATAAGATCATCTCTTTTGTAAACGGGAATTTCAACACCTCGTTTCATCCTTTAAATTTATGGCCATTATTCGCACATTAAATGCAGATAAGTATTATTATTCGTGCGTGTGCGCGTACGTGAGTATGTGCAAAAAAAAAAAAAAAAAAAAAAAAAAAAAAAAAAAAAAAAAAAAAAAAAGAAAAAAAAGAAAAAAAAAAGAAAAACAAAAAAGAGAAGAAATGGAAAACAAAAAGCAAGAAACAAAAATCTTACGCGAACTCGTTTTAATTAATATCAAAGAAAGATATTGTTAATAATTAAATCGTAAATATATCGTGGATACGTAACGTCGCATAAGTAATAATAAAAATGAAAAAGGTCAATAAGGAAAAAAAAAAGAAGGGAGAAAAATGAAATAAAATTATGAACGATCATTAGCGTAATAATATAATTGATTATATTAATAGAGAATTATTATTTAAAATAGGTATACAATTAATATTACTTTTATATATAACTTATTTTCTTATTAATTAATTTTCTTATTAATTAATATATATATATATACTAAATTAATATATATATAGTATAATTATAATATAATTATTTTATAATATAATATATTTATAATTTATATTATATTAATTAATTATACATATATATATATATATATATATATATATATACATATACACGTATATTAAATGTTTTTTAATAGAATTTTCATTATTGTTCGATTATCTTCGTACGAATAACATCACAAACGTAACGAAATTAGGTTTCTACTCTAAGATGTAAAAGTAGGTCGTTCAAGGACGTTCTGTTTCGAAGATAATCGATTTTCACTCTCATTCTCTCTCTCTCTCTCTCTCTCTCTCTCTTATACGTGTTCGATTTTCCTCGAAGGTCTCTTCTTGGATGGTGAAGGGAAGCAATCGAAGTGAACGAGCTTTCGTCTGGCAAAGGAGCAGCTAATGCCTCCACTACTTTCGTGGCTTGGATCGAAGAGGATCGCAATAAATCGCGAGGCTCCTTATCAATTCGACTGGCAGCCGGAGCTCTTAACGGCTGTGGAAATCTACGCTCTTAGGAAAGTTAGGCGAGTTCTACTTTCCAAAGGTGATACATTTTCGAGAGTCCTTCTTTTTTTTTTCCTCTAACCCATCGGAAAAAACTCTTTTCTCACGAATCCTAATCTTATTTTACCTATTGAACTCCTTTTTCTTTTATATTATCTCGTATAAAAGAGAAAGATACAGAGAGAGAGAGAGAGAGAGAGAGAGAGAGAGAGAGAGAGAGAGAGAGAGAGAGAAAGAGTTACGAGTTTAATTAATCTAATAATATCTTTAATTAAATTTATATCCTATCGAATTTATTAAATAAATATAAATAAATTTATATTTATATAAATAAAAATATATAATATATATATATATATATATATTAATATATATAATAAATAATTTTATTCATATAAATATAAATAAAATTTATATAAATAAATTTATATTTATCCGATAAATTTATATTTAATCGATCCCTATTCGATGGTCTTAATAAAAAGTATTCATATGAAAAAAGAAAATATTAAGATTCTATGGCTAAATGAAAAAAAAAAAAAACAACAATATTCGTCGTTTATCGTTAGATCAATTTCTAATCTTTCGTCTTATGGGATTATAGTATTATGAGATTATATAAAATTGATCGTTTTTATGAATTTACTTATAAAACGAATTATTGGAAAATTGTATACTTTGAACTTAATTAGAAATAATTTGAAATAATTGCTATGTAATATATATTCGACGATATATCGTCCAGGAAATTATTGTTAATATTTTAAATTGTTTTAAATCGATTTTAAACTGTCGTGTGATTTTGTTGAAAAGAAAAATGAAAAAAGAAAAAGAAAAAGAAAAACAAAAAAAAAACACCAAAGGAAAAAGAAAAAAGAAAAGAAAAGAGAGGAAAGAAAAAGGGAAAGTCAATTTATTTCACTTAGGTCTATTAGGAGATGCAAACGGTGAGTCTTTTCTTGAAAATTTCAACTTGTTAAATCTTCTATGTAGTTCTAATTAGCTTGAAAAACTTGAAAAAGATCAAAGAAGAAAGATGAAAGTTTTTAATGCTTATAATATAATATCACTAAGCACTCATTGACGTTCGGTAAGTGATTGTCCTTGTTTTTTATGGATGAAAAAAAAAAAAAAAATCATAAATCCACATCTTAATACACAGCTTTGTCGGTGATCCGAAATTCTAAAAGAATGTTTTGTTTACATCAAAGTTTACCTTTGAAATATCTCGAATATTTTTAATAAACCA